CAGTGGTCAGAGATGCTCTGCAGCGCAAATATGGTCCATCGTTCGATTCTTTGTGCCAAACTATGCAGACCACCTCTCCGTTGTGGTTATGTCATAAATAACTCATCTAGTAGGATAAGGATAAGAATGGTAGATCAGTATACTCTCGCTAGTCACTGTATAGATTAAATATCCTCGACCATATCTAAGACGTTTAATTATGTTGAGCACATTGCACATCCTTAAAGGAATGGTAAGTGCTCGAGGCTTTATCACTTATCCTTTCAACCACTCATCTATTTATTTAATTAATTAGATTTTCTCTATTTCTCGCTAATATGAATCCAGGTAGTCATCGACTAACCTGAATGGGTACCACTACGCTTCATTGGCCCCCGTTGGGCTACCAAATCGCTCAGTAGGCGGTTCAAGGGCCACAGAGTGTGTCGCGGTTTTAGCACAAAGCCCTAGTTTTACTGTTCTCGACGAGCACGTAGCCAAGGGCACCTCGTGAGGCTCAAACAACGCGTAGGTCTGCTATCAGCTCTCTGACGTCGAACAGGTCTATACTAGGTTGTAGTTCCGGATTGGAACTGTTGAAATCGATGAGGTGATAAACCACTGCATAGAATGCACGCGAATTTGTCAAAGTCTACGAGAAGTGATTGTTCGTACCCCCTTTATTGCTGTCGAATTCTATCATAAGCTGTGTTTCATCTACTTTTTTAGTCATTCTAACTAGTAAGTTTGCCAATAACACAGAAAGATCTAAACTCAAGTAAAGCTCTGTCGTGGTAATACGAGTGAGCGATACGAGTAAGTATGAAAGAGGAGACACCAAATCAGCAGCGTTTCATTAATCTCTCGAAAACAAATTGTTTTCCGCAGATTTAAGACTTATTTATTCTGGGATGAGACAAAGGTTTACAAGGCTACCAACTTTCCCTAAGGACCTCTACGGTTTTGCTTCGACACACGGCCGAGTTTCCTTAATTGAGAAAATCTAACTCATCGAATGATCCAGCAATGTTGACGTTGTGTCCTGATCATTGGTTTAGATCGAAATTTTTTTTCATGTCGGCTAAAAGACATTGAATGAGGCATGCATACACCAAAGAGATGGTGGAAATCTAATTTCCTAGATATTTTTATCCCTTCAAAAACATAGTAATGCGAACATCCACGAAAGGTGGCGACCCATGAACAGTGGAACTTTATCAAGCAAACAAAAATGATCCTTTGTCACGTAAGAAAATTGCAAATCATTGCACCCATATCTAATATTTTAAAAAATCGAGACATAGTTATATTTGCTTCTTACTGAACAGACGTATTTATCTCAGCTCTATGGTTTTCCCATAAATCTCGCCTCTAGTTCAGAAATCGGTTAGGCAAGTTGGCCTTTTTTGATTTCAATTATGACCATGTATTTAGCCCCATCTATTGAAGTCGGAAGTGGAAAGCATCCGAACTATATCGGCATTGGTCACTACGCACCGATAAATTAGTCAGTATCTAAGGGAAGGAATTTGCATACAGTGGGAGAGGATTGAGCCATTGCTCTCTATACGCCTCAATCGAGATGTCACAAAAATCATTGCCGTCATATCAGTGGGAAGAAGATGCAGCCTTGCTACCCATTCTTACACAGAGAACCGAATACCTCTGTAAATGTCGGTTACAAAAGGATGAAACGAATGGTAGAAAGGATGTTGTTTGCAAGCCATTCATGTGCGGGCCATCCAAGGGATGAAGAATAATGTGTCCAGCGTTAATTAGTTTTTCAGGGATACGACGTGTAGTCGACTTCATCAGTTCGTAGAGGTGATTTATTGCATACTTGACCCGTATAACAACTTTAAGCTGTCTACCGAAGCATCATGGCAGTCTTGTAATAATTCCCACGTCCCACTTTCTACTAACCTCGGCATTGATCAAATAATTCTGTGTTCAATGTGATTGAAATCTTCGTTTAGCACTTTCTCTGCTTGGTTATGGAAGTGTTTGGCTGGGTAGATTGCGGTCAACTTGACCTTTCCAGGCTCTGAGGAAGGCGAAATCCGCCGAAACGTCAGCTCGTTCTTGAATTAGGATAAAATAAGACCTCGTGTTTGCTCAACAAGAATATGAAGAACTATCACGACAATGTTTCTTTTCCTCATCTCTGCATAAGACCGGTGGCAATTTTCTCAACCCGGATTGAAGAAACGTGAGGCTTTGTTGGCTTAAGGTTTTAGTCAGAATGGAATAAGAAGCTATGTATTGCATTACACTTCGAATTACTGCGCCACTGCGTTAGTGATGTCGTCGACCAAGAAACAAATGATGATAGTTCGACACCCTGCTCAGCACTGTCCTCTAACGACTACTTCTAAGATTCCAAGAAGAATCGACTCGACCATCATTCTACGGCATTCATAAAGAAGAAATCATCAAGCAGCAGTCGAAACAACACGAAAAGCTTTCGAGGAGCTTTGTGAGCGACGAATGCCAGGAAAACAAATCGAATGCAAGAAGTGCTGGGATCCGGGCGGTATATGTGATGATGGGTTATGCAAGATCAAATAAACAAAGTTTTTTCAAAAGAGCAGCTTTCCGTACTAAAAATGTTTGTACGTGCTGTTTATGTGGCACCGTTGAAACATTATTAGGTATGGAAGAGAGACAGGCGAAAAGAACGACCAGGATGGTGTGGTGGTGAACGCGTTAACCGCCCAAAAAAGAACTAGCGTGTTCGTTCTCCAAAGGAGACACCTACGATCAGAAGTTTTGCAAATATCTCAATATCTCAGCATCATTGTGATTGCAAGGTATATTCATTTGATGTCGCTGGGTATTGTGTGGATATCATGCGCATTGTTAATAAACAAGTTCCACGCAGTGATTTCCTATTCAAATATACTCGTTTCATCTTGTCATATAATATTAATAATGTACTTAAAATGGAAATGTAATGGGAAAGTACAGTACGACATCACATTTAGGTTTTTGATCGTGTTCATGTTCATAACGGCTTACGTTGTTTGCGAAAGAAATTACCACAACGTAGCACTCAAGTGCTATAAAATCGTCTTTATCGTCGTAAATCCAGATGTGCTTCGTCGTTGTGCTCTTTTCTTTTCAGGTAATCATCACACATCCTCATGTCGGATCATCGAAGGTTAGTGGTCTCCTTAAACAGCTCTATTTATTGTATTGTAAACGTGTAATTCAACGGAAGGATGTGTTTATTATAAAAACTTCCATTCACTTTCTTGTTAGGCATTTGTCTACTATTTCACGTTTTCTAACAAAAACTAACCAGCAAAGTCATTTCAGAATTTAATTATTTAATAAAATTTGTGCAGAAAGGTTCTCATTTCAATGACTGAAGACTCAGAATGGATAGACAAATTGCGGATGTGTTGGTCCGAAGAAGAATTCCACCATAGGTTTGAATATCAAAAAGAGCCTAAACAAGCATGAAAGGATTTTTTTTTCATTTTATCCCATTTAGGCTAAAACACTCATTGAGCGCTGTTCAGTCGCTGTTCAAATTTTACACTTTTTTTAAACATTCATTTTCTGCTCGAGTACGGGAAACTTTAAGAAATCGGAATTTTTCTAGAAACAAACTAGATGACCTTCATTGTCAGTTATGTGAGTACAACAACAAAAAAGAGGCTTCAGCTAGACGCCCAGTTGTTCACATAATGGGAATTTTTGAAGACAGTCAGATGACTTGTGCATATCTGACAACGTTGTCGGCCGTCATCTAGTTGATTAAGTCTCGTTAGCAACGACAACTCGTCTTCGCGTTTGATTTTCATTGAAAGACCGTCGTACATTAATGATCCCTTCTGAACACGTTGACCACTGCCATTTCCCGTCCTGTCCTGTCCTCTTCAAGAACTCCAACAAAACAACGTACCAGTCGTGTTGAGTACTTCCTTCTTTTGTACCTCCCAATTATTTTCGTGAGCTCAAAAAGGAAACCCCGGCAGAAACGTTGAGAACTTCTTCATTCTCTCCTGTCCAGCCAATTTTGTGAGCTCCAATAAAAACCCCTCCGATCACTTAACACTTCCATTTCGTCCTAAGCAATTTTTTTTATGAACTCCAACAAAAAATTCCAACGGTCAACAACGTTTATTTCATTACAGGATGATCATCACCGGCGATCTCGACTACGATGTTCAACTCTGGGCATCAAGAAACATTGTGCGTAACGAGATTTTTATGATAAGTTTCCCTATCTTCTTTTCTTTTTCCCCAACGTAATCATTTTATGCCACCCATTTCCTTTTTTGTCTTCATGCTTATGACTTTCCAACCATATTTCGCATTTATTGTAGAAGGACTATATTTAGCTCATAACAGACCGTTTTTTACCTTAAGTTTTTAGTGACTCTGCTCCTAATGAATATTTTTGTCAAAAAAGCTACGACGAGACGAAAAATATTGACATCACTGAAGATGTAAATATTGGAAGGAAAAACAAGCAGTTAACGATTTCTTGAAACCTTTGATAAGAATATTACTATCATTTAAATTCTTTTGGGCGTGTGTGGCGCAGTGGTTGGAGGCGCCCTGCAGCACACACGTGGAATCCATCTGCGCACCTCAGGCTCACCAACAATTCCATCCCTCCGGAGTAGGAAAATTGGTACCAGACTTTTCTGGGAGGATAGCAGCACTGGCTCGATACATCGGTAGGGCACCGCGAGTCATTGTAAAGGCCAGATATGCATTCAATCACTTCCAAACGATACTTAATGAAGTCGAATGCATGGCGCATCCCTCAGGGATTGATCAATGCCGAGAGCTTTATCCTTTATTCTTTTTCATTAAAACTGCTTTTGAAAGTAGCATGATGGTAACACAATAATCAGATACCAAAACATATTATAGAATATTTCTGCATAGAAAGCTCGTTGAGCTGTTTGTCTTCTTCTAGAAGCAAACATTTATTAGAGGTCAAAAGACCGACTTTCTACTTCGGCATAAATAAATTTATTAGAGGCTTTCTGATTGTTGAAAAGATGACAATTCAGTTTGTCAACGGCACTTGTCCGGAGATGTACAAGCCGTTGATGTCAGGAGGCATGAACGCCTTCTACATGTACGTCTTTCCAATACAATTTTTTCTCGGAGTTATCGGCAACGCGCTAAATCTCTGCGTTCTGCTCAGCCGACATATGCAAAGTGAGGTGAGGAGCCGTCTTTGAGTCGAGGTAACGCCTACCATGCAAATGGTGCGTATCGATTAACAGGGAGTGTTGATTTAAAGACGTCTGTGATTTTTATTTTATATTTTGTCAATGATTTCGTTAATAAGCGTTGTAGATTTATGTTCGGTATATTCGAGAACTACCTAGTGAATAGAATTAGCTTTGTAATCCTGAAAATAATGTTAGTTCCATAAATTGGTCGCTAGTCTTTCGTTATCCCATCATCTTCAGGCGAATTATTTGTTATCCGCTCTCGCTATTGCTGATATATTGCTATTCCTAACATTACTCCCAGAAGCTTTAGGAGTATGGAGGATATTCTATACAAACGATCTCTTCAGGTGGATTTAAAACTTCTGAGTAAGAAAGTGAAAAAATTGATAAATACATAGTCGTCAGGCGGTTTTATTATCGTTCTCATACAATGCGTCACTGGTTCTCCAATGTATTTTCATGTATGGCATCATGGTTGATCTTAGCAGTTTCGGTTGAGAGGTGGGTTCCGAGTGTTTCCTTAAAATCACGATTATGAAATTAAGAAAAAACTAACGCGCTCTATTGTGGACCAGTAAAAAGTCTCAAGCAGGAATCCTCAGTGTATTCCAAAGATTATAGCATTTTATCGCACCGAGTTCTCTCTCAGGAAGGAGACTTTTCGGCAAAACCTGATATTATTTTTAAACAGCTAAAGGCTTTCCAATAGCGTAGTTGATGGTATTCGATGGTGTGCAAAATTCGTCCAGATTTTTCAATCGACGAGGTTAACTAGGGCTGTCGTGATGCGCTCGTTCAGTGAGGAACAGACGTGTTTTGCAATATTACAAAGAATTTTCTGGAAAATCCCTGTTTTCATATGATTAGTTTGCGCAAATATTTTCATAGAATTAGGAAAATAATTCGTTCAATTTGGTGGCTATAGGTACATAGCGCGTGTGGCGCAGTGGTCGGAGGCGCCTGCAGCAGACATATGGGGTCCATCTCCGCCTCTGTGGCTCACCAAGTCTTCCATCCCTCCGGCGTTGGCAAATTGAAGCCAGACTTGTCTAAGAGGATAGCAGCATTGGCTCGACACATCGGTAGATACCGCAAGTCATTGTAAAGGCCAAATATGCATTCAGTCATCTCCAACGATGCTTTATGAAGTCGGAATGCATGGCTCATCTCTGATGGATTGATCAAAGCCGAAAGCTTTTTCTTTTTTTTCTAGGTATATGGGCATTTCTTCGCCGATGCATACGCGGTGTGAATGGCGCGAATCTCGTGTGCGGTATTTGGTTCTGTTCATCCTAATGGGCAGTTTGTTGTTGACGGCTTTTCATCATTTCGAATACAAATACGGTTATACTACAATGTGCAACGGTACTCTTACCTACGCTAAACTCGTCCACTTAGAAAAGGTTCGCCATTTATTTCCATCTACACTAAAACCTCATGAAACCTGCGAGCAATTAGTACTTCGTGTTGTAGACGGTGGTGAGTAGGTTTTCTTTATCCAAAACTGGTAGGAAGAAGTTTTTGAGATATTTTCTGGAAGTACGAGAAAAAGTGAAAGGCAGCAGGTAGGACGGCTTTAAAACGGCATCACCTCTATCAGATGTTATTCGAGCAAGAATCTCCTTTTATGTTGCCTCTAGAGCTCTCAGCATGCCCTTTTAGTTCGAAAGACGCAAAGTGCTATACATTTTTTGTATCACTTTTTTTAAAAAATCATTGCTTTTCGATATGTTCTTTTTGCAATGCTTAGCAGAAATGTACCCACTGGCAGCTTGCCGAGATGTCGTGGAAGAACGGGTGTATACGTAGTTTCTTATCCAGCTGCTTCTCTTAATTTTAGTGTCATCGCCGAATCGGCATGTGGGATACGATCTCCAAAATTGTAAGCGTTCCCATCCATGCATGCATGTAAATGTGAATGGTATGAGCTAGCCCAAGCAGGAAGAGAATATCCTCCGTCTCAAATCCGCTCGTGTCCAAAAAAGTATAGAAGGTTGTTCTTGGTCTGCATTTAACCTACAATTTTTCCTCATGTGGACGCAATAGCTCACAGCGGTCGGCTGGAAAATAGAGTGCAGCTAAATAATCTCTTGATTTTTTCTACATTTATCCTCTGCCCTTTCAGCTCGTACCGTACATCTCCAGGATACAAGTGCGGATTATGACAGTCTTGAAAGTGTCACAAATCGCTCTGGTTGTCGTTCTTCCGTTAGTAGGAGTGGTTGTGCTCAACCTGAAGATAATCGTCGTGCTGAGACGCAGTAGTGTGCTAGTGACCAGGTCAACAAGAATCAGCAGCGACGACCACAATGACGAATTCCTACGGTCCGTCACTCTGACAAAATGTATCGCAGCCATCCAAGATTTTTGTTAAAGGGCCCAGTAACATACTTTTTATGATTTCTTCACAATTATAGGTATTTTTTTAAATGAAAAAATAACTCAAAAGCAAAGTTATGACCGTTTTTCTCTAAGTATTTATTCTGATTAAGCAGCATACTTTGCTCTGCTTCATCTGGCTTCAAAATCGTCTTGCACCTTCCAAACAAGAAAAACTTGCAAGCAGCGCAGAGCTTTAAAAAAAGCTTTAATCGCTGAAAAAGAAATTTGACGTTTTTTTCAAGAAAGCGAAGAAGGTTTTAAGAGTGGAACTTTGAAAGAAGCCCTTTCAACGCCTTTCCCCGTCAACGTTGGGCTTCGTCCAGCAGCGAAACAAATAGAATGGGCGAAATTGTGATACCAAACTATCATCGTATCTCAAGTGTATCATTAGTTCCCAGGATCGACTTTCTATTAACCTCGGCATTGGAATATGAATGCGTCGTTTTCTTGTTCAGCAATCGCGAGGTTTTTAAACAGCATACATTCACTTCCATAGAAAAACACAATACAATACAACACTAGCTGACGTTTCGGCAGTATCGCCTTCTTAACAGCCGCTTTTTCGTGACTTCCAATGAGGAAGTTTAGAACAGCTGATTATAGTCGCATATGGTTGACGACTCCGCGACGACTGTATCATTAGTGTTTTTGGTAGTGGGGTTTGTATTTTGAAGAAATCAGATTTTCAAAATTGCTTCGCAGTTATCGGAACTTTCGATTTTCAACAAAAACTACCAAGTACTTGGATACTTGGATGGCTGGTCTTCACTGATTATGCGAGCGCCAGCATAATTTCCATTCTCCGAAGATTTGGTAGTTCAGCGGCCTTGTGGTTTGCTGGAGTTCTGAGGACAGCCTAATCAAAGTCTGCTCCAGGTCGTTACCACCACAGACAGTCGCCGCCCTTGTGGACCAGAGATTTCCCACCGTGTGACTAGTTTGGTACCAGGACAGAGACGGATCCCGGTATTAGTTTATTCTCAGTTGGACTTCCTGATGGAAACGACGGAGCGCTTTTCAACTCCGGAAACCCCTACTAGAAAGACGAATCGCCCCGCTCTACATCGCAGCTCGACACCCGGGAACACCTTCCATCCACGATGCAAACCGTTGAGAGGACAAAGAAAATAACACTTCAGAAAGCAAGCGTGACCTAAAATGACCTCTTTGATAAAGATTTCGATCCCGAGCTTCTCAAGTACACGGTTATCAAAAAAATCCTGGGAGGTGGCAAAAATTAGTCGTCACCACCAATATGTTAGCAAAAATTTCTTCCAGCTCTGGTTGGAAATTTCTGAGCTCTACTCAAAGATATGTAGCTGTTAATGGACAATGCATAAACCGTTGTTACTACCCTTAATAGTTAGAAAATTCTCAAATCTAGAAAGAGATTAAATGTGGTCAAAATTTTGCACATGCGCTGCTTTCTAAAAGGAAATCATTCGTTGAAAAATCACGTGCTATTGTTCAAATTAAAAACGTCTAGATAAACTGTGGAAAATTATTCTCAAACAGTTTCTATTCAGTGACACGGATTCACGTCAGAGACGCGACCGTAAAGTAACTATTACCGTTCTCGCCATCATCACCTGCTTCTTCCTCACGCATGTACTCAACCGCATTCTTTCTGTGTAGACCTTTTTAGAGGATTCGCAAAGACACACGTTTTTCTTCAGACTCCATCGACATTACCATTTATCTTGGAGCTAATCTCACCTCTCATGACGCCTCCTCAAAAAGAATTCGTCCGTCGACTTATGCCTGGGCTTGGTCCGATCGTACATGGCTGGCTTTTAACAGGAAAGGTGAGTTGTTGGTTATCATCACAGTGCTTAGACGATGCAAACGTATCCACAGGATATTCCATCTTTCACTATCTATTATTTCGTGAAAGCTTTGTTTTAACGAGATACACAGCATTTCCTATTTTTTGACACTTTTTAGCATTCCTAAAATGACTAGAAGCAAGGTTTAGTAGTAATCTTATTACGGGTGATGTATGTATTTGAATAATAGTACCAAGTAAAAATGAAAAGTTTAGCAGAGTTTGAAGATCAAATCGATACTGTAGTTTACTGTAACAGGCACTCGAAACTTCTCTAATGCTCGGCGTTAAATCGTAGTCTGAATTTAGGTTATGAATTTCGTGCTTTTCTGTATGTCATCAGCTTTCTTCAGAAGGAGACTCCTTATCATCATCAAAGGCAGGGTAAGTATCGCAAAAAAGTTTTAGTAACATTGCCACCTATATATTTCTATGTAAATAAAAATAAAATATAAGCTTCTTTGAATTAATTGATATCGCTAGGCCTACTATTTTGGTGTTGTCGCAATAAAATGGTTGTAAAAATGAGAACAGTATCTTTGGCCTACAGTCATTTGCGAAAGACGACTGGTAGGCAAGACTCTGGTATAAAATCCTGGATCTCTGGTCTAATCAAAACCTTCCACAATGAGCCTCTTCAGTGAGAAAATTAGTCTATGCAAAATCTTGTTTATAACAGCAGCTTGCTTTCAAAGCACTTCATATTTTTGAGATATGGCTCACAGCTTGCATATCCTACCTCATAATAAACTTCTTTGCCTAAAATTTGAAAATTCTGTTAGAGCGTTTTGTCGTCTTCAGCTACTGTGGGTTCGTTAAAGCTATCTATTTACAATCTTAACCCTTTTATTTACTGCCTTTTTCTTCTTAATGGCAGGGTGTGTTGCGAAATATAACTCGTATGTAAACAGTAAATAAATAAAAGGGTTAAGATTGTGATTATAACTAAGCCTCAGCTTAACTGGGTTCAATGCCGAATTGGACTCCCCAGATCAATCCCGTTGACGGGTGATTGCTGATGGCAAAAGATCTATAGAACTAGCTGAGAGACAGGCAAAACGAAGGACACGGATGGTGTGGTCGTGAAGTGCGCTGCTCCCCGGTAAGGACAACAGCGCGTGTTCGTTCCCACTGCATACACCTGCGGTCAGGAGTTTTGCAAGTACCTCAGCATTACATACGAGCTATCTATTTACGTTTCTTCCCAACGGTTTAGCGCCTTTACGTGGCTGGGAGGTGTTCCTTACTGTCGGGGTGCGGTGTACAGGGGGCGATTCATCCTCCTGGCATGCTCTCCCAAGCTGAAAAGGAATCCGGCGTTTCCATCAGGAAGCGCATGGTGGAAAATCTCCCTCTGATCCGCAATGGTTGCGACTTCCTGTGGCGGTGAAAACCTGTGGCAGACTTTGGCCAGGTTGACCGCAGGATTCCAGGGAACCACAATGGCTTGACCAGCAAATTTCAGAAAAGTGGAGAATATGCTGGGGCCCGCACAACCGCTCAGGACGAAACTTTCAAGTATCAAATATCATGTATTTCTTTATTCAAACTTCATAATATTCTTAAAAATATGGCATCAGTAGGTGAGAGTCAAAAGTGAATATAGTAAAAGCTGAGCATCAAAGTATACCCGGCCCAAATCACAATGTCTTAACCTTTCCTTCACTTCCTATTGTTTTTTCCATGGCAGGATGTGTTGCGAAGGAGCCGTTAGTGTGATTTTTTTCAGCATTCTTGTGGGTCTACTTAACAAAAAGTAAGTATAATATTGTAATTTCGACTGTGGCCTCAGCTTAATTGCATTCAATGCTGATTTATGCTTCCTAGGTTATTCTCGTTAATGAGGGGTTGCTGATAGCACCACTGGGATAAAAACATGGCTGAGAGGAAGGAAAAGCAAGACACTCAGTTGGTGCGCTGGATAGAACGTAAGCCTAGGTAATTGCAAGTTAAAGCCCAGTTGAGGTTTCTGGTTTTAATTTTTTATTTACTGCTTGTTATTTTTTCACGGTAGAGTATTATATGAAATGCATTCATATGTATGCACGTATTTCACATCATACGCTGCCGTAAAGAAAACAATACGCAGTAAATAAAAAGTTGAACATTATGATTTCAGCTACAGCTTCAGCTTAATTGTGTTTAGCGCCTATCTGTTCTCCCTAACCCATTCCCGTTGGTGGGTGACTGCTGATGGCACTGTTAGGGCAGCAAATCGGTTGAGAGAAAAGCAAATCAGTGGCCAGAGTGGTGCGGCGGGTAACACGTGAGACCCAGGAAAAGGTAATCGGAAGTTCCAGTTTAGCCGAGGGTCCAGGTTTTCCAATTATCTCAGCATTACAATGCTATCTCGTTTTGTTCACACCTTGGTATCCCTGTGAGGATTATTAATCCAATTTTCTAAAGCTTTCCTTCTGCAGGGATACAGATAATAGAAATATTTGTCGATATTAGTAGGTTAAGAGTAAAGGATAAAGGGCTCGATGTTCATCAATCCCCAAGGGATCCATCAGCAGTTAGCTCTCGAAATTTCATGAAAGTATAGACAAGGGGTTGCCTGCCCAGTGTACAATGGAGGAAAACTACAGGATTCTGGACGAGTTTCACAGCGACGGCCTCTTTGTTTCTCACTAGTTCATGCAGCATCTCCTTATCGAGCTTCTTCATCTTTCCATTGCCTTTGAAACAACAAAGTTTGGTTGATTGACTAAAATTCACTTTTTCGATGATCGTTTTAGTAGTTCTTAAAGAAAACCTTTCGATGGCCGATTTCAGATGGTCGTCGTTAACTTCTCAAGGGAAACACCGTTCCAGAGCTTTGTTGAGAGCGCGAAGAGCTCTCCATCAGGTTAAGGTGTTTAGCCATGCACAGAAAGTGCTGACAAAATTGCTGAGTCGAACTGATAGAGGCAGAACTTCAGTTCGACCAGCTGGTTGTTGGCATTCATAAGCTGAGCAAACGCTGTCTAAGCCTCTCTCTTCTGTTTAGCTTTTCCTTATGCCCATTTCTATGTTAATTTTACATCCTGGGATGTTCTTTTCTGCAGTCGAAACAATGAATTCCATCTGCAATCTCATTACATTTATTTGCATATTGCTTATGCTCCTCCCAACGGTTTACAGCCTCGTCGTGGCTGGGAACTGTTTCTGGTTGTCGGATCGCAATTTACAGTGGGAGATTCATCCTCTGGTAGGGCCTCCCAAGCTGGAAAGGAGTCCGGCGTTTCCATAAGGAACCCTACCTAAGACTAAACCAACACCAAGATCCACCATCGTTCTAGCATCAAGCTATCGCATGGTGGCAAATCTCCCTCTGGTCCACAAGGCTGCCACTGCCTGTGGTGGTGAAGACTTGGGGCAGACTTTGGCCAGGCTGATCTCGGGACTCCGAGGAACCATAGTGGCTTAGTCAGGAAATTCCCGAAAATGGAGCTTATGCGGGGGCCCGCACAACGAGTGAGGACTGGTGAGGAGATTCAAGTAAGTAAGTATTTATTATGCTTAACTCGTGCTTATCGAATAGGTAGCAAGTTTGTGGGTAAAACGACGCTTTGTTGAACGTTTCTAATAATCCGTCGATATTGATAAGAAAAAAAGTTATAGGATACTCCCTCTGACAGACTATTTTGACCTAATCACTGTTGCATGTGCCATATAAAACAATGTTATTCCTGAAATCCTGCTTGGTCAACTGGTTAGGTTTCATACAACGTCTACAGTATGGGCTATAAAGAAATCGTTAAGGAATGTTTGTAGACAAAAACAAACCAGAGACAATCCAGAGGGAGCACTGTCGAATGGCGTCACCCCCATCACAACAACAACCAGAAATTGCCCACCGACTCGGATCAACGCGGCTCTAACGAAGGCGAATGAACCGAAACATTAGGCGAATAAAATCTTCTATACCAGCCTTGTGTCAGCTCAGACATGTAGAAAATTGTCCCTCTTGCTTAAAACAAATCCGCCGTGATGTTGCGTGGTTGTGGAGCCTAACTATGCTCATGTTTCTTGTTCCAGTTGAAACCTACTCCTGAGGGAAGAATCTGCGGTGATTTTTCCTCAGTGAAGGACATGGAGATCCAAACCTGTAGTAGAAAAAATCTCTTTGGAGCCGAAAAAAATTTCGGCTATGGTCAACTTCTGCAATGATGCCAATACTTGCAAAACTATGGACCGCAGGTGTGAGCGGTGACGATCAAACACACTTTTGCACTTTACGGAGGTTCACGCGTTCACCTTCACACCATAGCGTCCTTTCCTTGGTTTCGCCTTCTTGTTGGACACCTGCGGTTCAGAGTTTTGCAAATATCGTTGTGGTTGTATTTCAATAATACCCTGCCGTGAAAAAGTGTAGTAGGCAGTAAGTACAATGTTAAAATTATGCTCAACTTCACTTTGTCACTTTTTCATTGCCAACTATTAAAGAGCACTATTATTATCAACTTCGCGAATACTATTTTATAATTTTAAGTTAAGTTAATGGGTTAGTATAATTAATTAATTTAAGGATACTTACTAGATGCTTAACACACGGCGGACTATGTGCATTGGATTCAGCTCGTACGGCGCTTTTACCATTAAAGCAAGGCATCTTAGCTTACCCTGCTCCTATTAATTAGAATAAAACTTGGAAGAATATGTAGATCTTTTTCTACATTGTTCAAATTCTCTTATTCTAAATCAATAGCATCTCGATTCTTTAGACCTCAGAAGACGCAATGTATTTTTATAGATGTTGTTATTTAGCCTTCATTCGGTTGTAGAACAACCTCACATAAGCTGTACAATCTAACCAAAGATGGCAAGTCCCAAGATCCACTTGTTTTTAACCTCAGCATTCATAATAATTCTTTGTTTTTCTTTTTGAACAAACTTGAGATCGTTATGAGGGTTACCATTTATTAATACACAATAACTGACGTTTTTGCGGTTTGGCCTTCTTCACAGCCTCGAAAGACCAAATTGACATGAAGTCTACTCAGTCAAACACTTTCATAACCTCATGAGACAGAATATAATACATCAATTTTTATTCGCATAACAAACAGTTTTTTTAAAAACTTATTTTTCTCGCTTTAAGTATTCCAGTTATTTGGCGGAGACCAGTAACACAAAATCCCACATGGGCGAGGAATGGGCTTGGCCCAGGTTAGAGAATCAGTCTAAGATATCGCGTTGGTCACACTTGAACACAAGATACTCCTCCTTGCTGTTCATTTTGGGTTCTTAGAATTTATCGAAAGCGCTTTAAGGTACGCACTAATGTTTTGGATTCCTGTGCGAGGATGCCTTCTAACGGTTTACCGCCTCATCGTTGCTGGTAGGTGCTCCCTGATGTCGGGCTGCTATGTACAGCGAGAAGATTCATCCTCCTGGTAGGGTCTCCCAAGCTGAGAAGAGGTCCG